TTTTTTTTTTAACAAGAGGTAGGATCAACAACCGAGATTTTCTTGTAAACCTTTTCTTCTGAGCAAATTGTTATTTTGTGGTCTTGTTTACTAGCATGAAAGTTGTTTAGCTCGACGCAAATGATCTCTCAAATAATCACCATTTGAGCCATGATAACGATCAGTCCAGCCTGTCTCATCAGCGTTGATTTGCCGCCCATATTAGGCCCAGTAACCAGTACGCAGGTGCTTTGACTGTTGACCGCTGTCTCCTCGCAGTCATTGTCCTTGGGAGAAGAGAAGATAATGGGAACTACTTAACATACTGGTTACTTCTAGAACTACATATTTTTGTCTTCTTCGTCAAGCTATGAAGCAGAAAATGGGAATGTGCCACCCAAACGGAAAAAAGGAGTAGAAGAGGAAACACAAAGAAACAAGCAAACAAATACACAAAAGATACTTACATCTTGCATCCCAATCACTGTGTCATTTGGGATAAAATCGCCGCCACTGAACGTGCGTGAAATGCACGGGTGCCGTCCTTCTCGGATTTCCAAGAAAGGCTGTTGAAAGAGGGTTAAATCTAAGAGCAGGCTCTCAGTGGCGCTCCAATACGACTGCCGAAGCCCGTGCGTTTCAAGTCGTTGTGCGATACCAGCGCGCGAGAGGTCCACAAGGGTTCAAGCAGGAAAATGGCTCACCCCACACTGACCCCTCACCAACTCGCCTTTTTTTAAGGCCTTAAACTTTCTCGCGAGAAGAGTAACGCTCGTGTCACAAAGCTAATAATGGGGGCTAGCTCACACGCCACCTAAATTTATGACCCCGAATTTTCCGTCTTCCACAAAACCACAAAACTCCAGATTTTCATTCGACCTACAGACGGACGTGGACGAAAAGTCACTATTTGCTCTGAGGAGGGGTGAACGCTCGAAATGACAGCAGAAATTCTTTACAGTGGCCAATTTACGTTGTCAACTCAGTTGACAAAACCAAATTATTATGAATTAGACTTCCTATCAAAACTCTGATTAATTGTGGGCATATAGTCATTATACAATAGTGTGGTAAGTTGACATGATAACCCAATATTTGTAGCAGATATTAGGTAATTATGTCGAGTTCAAAGTCTGCCTAGTTTCCACGCCCCTCATAAATGTAGTGTTCTCTCGGAGAGGTGTCTCCTTTGGCAGATTGTTTAAAAAATGTACAATAAAATAATTAGTGAATTCGGCTTGCGCATGATATCATGAATTATCAAACCTCGTGTCTGTGTTATCTGCCTCAGCTTTCGGCTTCGGCAGATAACTCAGACCTCGGCATTGATAATTCATGATATCATACTCAACCTCATCCAATAAGTGCTTTTTATCCTGTTACACTCCCCTACTGACGTAGCACCACAGTTTCTTAGAAACTTACCACTTTATTCTTTTTAATTTCATCCAATCTCAAACCGATGCGATTCTGGGAAATTTCACCAACAAACCCATGTATTTCATTTTTTCACTTTACGAGAAAAACCATCGGCCTTGTACCCAAAATTCCCAGAGGGTAAACAGTTGCTCCAATGAATGTTTCTACGATGATCTTAATTACCACAAGTAATACCTGAAATTCTTCATCAGAAGTCTGCTCGGGAAGAACGATATCAGGTCTACACATCGGACCGTCAGCCTGCGAACTGAGGAATTTACAATGAATTTTGTTTTTTTTTTTGATGTTTCACAAGAAAGAGAAAGAGAGCCAACAAAAAAGGCAATTTTTTGTACCTGCAGGATGCAAGGCTTATCAGTGAGTCCAATACAGCCAGACACTGTACTGTTTTATCCCACGTCTTGTACCTAAATGAGAAAATCAAGGGAAAAGAAGTTCGCTCTTCAAAGACCAAACTGTGCAACTTAAACGGTTTCCAATATTCCTATTTTCCCGCGCTTTGATCGGTATCCGACGCCGTCCACACATTTTCCCGCGCTTTTTTCCAGTATGAACGTTTTCCCGCCAAAAATTCCCCCTAGTTTCTTCTAGACGAAATAAAATGAACATGTATTCCATGTATGAGAAAAAACAAAGCTGAGTTTAATAAGAGTAATTATACTAACTCTTGATCAAATTTGTGAAACACAAGTCTCATAGTGTCTTTCAAAGCTTCCTCTCGTCTTTCCTCGGCTTCCACTAACTCCGCCAGCTTCTCTTCAATCGCTGCTGTCCAGTATCGTTTAAATCCTTTCTTCTGCGACTGCAGGGTGTATTCGTCGGGAATCTTACGGACAGAGTCAGGAATTTCAAGCTGATAACGGTTCTTGGCTGAAATCCAGCAAAAAGGACCATATACTTCAAAAATGGCTTAGAGTGATTAAGAAAATTCAGGCAGACGCGATGGTAAAACGGCTAGCACACTGAACTCTGGGTCGAAATTCTTGTCGAATAATCGTGATGCGTCCTTAGCAAAACAATATCTTCTACAACGCCTTTTTCCACCCAGGAGTACAAACAAATACTGGTGAAATTTTTACGAAAAGCTGGGGCTAGCCTGTGATCAACCAGCATTCGATCCCCCCTAAAGTAGGAAAACCCCTTATGACTGAACGTTAAAAAAGACAGGATAATGTCTGGCGGAGACAATTTTTAAGTCAGTGTTGCTCATACACTAGAAGAAATGACGGTTTGAAGAGGCTCATACTAAGAGATGCTTTTAAGACGGGAGGTACAACATACACCACCAAGACCAAACCTATTTCATTTGCAACTCATACAATACATTCAGTCATACCTGAGCCCCAATACGTAGCCTAAAGAAAAGAAAAGAAAAGAAATAAAAATCATAGAAAGGAAAAAAACGTGGTAAAATTATCCTCATAACGTTCACATCAAATTTCTAAACCTACGTGTACCTCCTGAAATATTGTCATTGTTGAAAAAAATTAAGTTGTATCTCGCTTATAGACTAATTTTGGTCTGCAATTCTTCCAAGGATCCGAAGAGCTCTTATCTCTAGGAGATTGGACCGAGTGTATTTCTCGACCCAGACTCTTCTCTGACGTGATGCATACAGGGTGTTGTTACTCACCTTGCAGCCTAGTGTAGCGCATTGTTTCTTCAGGTATTGGTCAAACCAGGTGCGCATGGACTGAATATCTGCTATGGCTTGATCATAATCTGGATCAACCCCTGCCGTTAAAATTGGTGAACAACATTAGAACAATTTGCTTCACGATTTTATATCTCCTGAACAAAGAACACGTTATCCTCACCTGCCTTAGGCAATATGACGCCTTCATTCCTAGCCTTGTTGTGATCAAACGAGTGCTGAAGAAAAGAGAAAAACATTGTTATGAATCAAAGGATCCTGAGATTACAATTAGAAAGCTTTTCAATGGAACATAAAACCAAAGAATATATAATGACCAGCCAAAATAAAGAGGAATTTCATGAGGACCCAGTGAAACCTCAAAGTAAGACAAGCACACTGTTTAAAGCGCGGGAAAAAGCGCGTGAAAAATTTGCAATTGATTTCAATTTTACAACTGATTGGCGCGAGTTTTTCTGGGCCAATCATAGCGCATGGTGAAGGTAACCTTGTGAAAACCCGGATTTGCCTCGATAGTCTTTACGTGAAGGTGTAGTCAAACAAGGAAAAACAAAACTCTACAATAAAAGAAACATTTGCAATTTAAAGCACCTTGAAGGCGTGTAAGAGATCGTGCAACTTCGGAAACTGCCCACTAACTTTCGACTGTCCAGCTACAGAGTGAATTAAAAAGAACGAGGAAGAGTTACTTCGTTAGCGCTTTGCACAGTTTGTGTGTAGAATACAAGCATAAACATCTTAGAGGGTAATTCAATTGGGTGTCGTAAAAATTGAACACAAAATAATCACGACGGCCAATGACAACAAAGGAAAATATCAAAAGGAGCCAATAAGAACTCAAGGTAAGAACAAGTAACCTGCCTAGAGCGCGGGAAAACGCGGATGACCAAGTAGCGATTGGTTTTAGTTTTGAATCTGATTGGTTGAGAAAATGGCGCGAGTTTTCTAGGCAAATTATAAAGCGAAGTAAAGCAAAACCGGAGCAATCCTGGGGTTACTTTAGACACCCAATTGAAAATTGTCTTTAATTTTGAAACAATAACTTCACAAACCGGTAATGTCCTGTTCTGTGACAACTTGAGTGAGAAGTTTGGAACTGCAAAACAAACAAAGAGTTTTGAGCCTGCGAGTAAAGAGGGCAAGAAAGTTCTTTAGTTGTACAAAGGTAATCTAAATGCATTAGGTTACATGACAATATATCATTCCTGCAGCAGATTTTCACAAAAACAACTTAAAGAAAGAACAGTTCATATCACCTGCAAACCAAAATTCATTTGATATGTAACTCTTTGAACGTGCTTCGTAAAAGTGCAAGTGTGGAAATAAACAAATAAATTAATAAATAAATAATGAATGGATATGTACAAAAGTAGAAACGATTTACCTGAAAGAACTAGCATGGTCTTTGAACATGGCTGTAATCTCTGTCGCCTTATCAAAACCCTCCAAGATCGTGAGAAAATCATTTATTTTTCGCTTACTGCAGAAGACAGAAATATTAAAAGGATTAAGCAATAGACTTATTTCATAATTGGCGGGCTAATTCTGTTATTTTACATTTAAGTCAAGTAAGCTTTCTAGTCTCAACAACATGTTTAAAAACAGTCGTATTTCAAGTCAAAAAGCGTGGTTTGGAAGGCGAACTGGCATACAGAGGAAAGAAAAATAATCACACTCGCCAATTTTCAATTTAGTGTTGACAATAATCCTTGATTGCTTTGTGTTTGCGTTGTTATTGCTTAACCACGCTCCATGATTGGTTCAGAAAACTTGCGTCACTCTCTTCAACCAATCAGATGCAAAACTACAATTAATCCCGAATTGGTCACCCGCGTTTTCCCACGCTACAGGCAGTTTTTTTACTTTGAGTTCTCATTGGCTCTTAGCGGAATTTCCTTTTCTCGTGATTGGCCGTTGGTTTTGTTTGTTTGACACTCAATCGAAAAGCGCTTAAATAAATACATAAATAAATCTTTAACCAGCACCTGTAAGTGTCTTCATTATAGAGAATTGCTCTATTGGCTGGGTGATTCTTGTCTCGAGGCAAACTCAACGCGTGTATTCTAAATAGGGAAGGAAAGAAAAATATCTTTGTTTACAAAACAGTTCTATACATTGTTTGAAAGACATGTCATTGAGTTTCATACTTTTTTAAGAGTCTTTCCAGATCTGGCAGGGTCTTCAATACATCTTTTGTTTCTGCCATTAAACTTGGGTTAGCCATCAAATCTTCTACAGAATTGAGTCTGTGAAATGGAAAACAAATTGTATTAGAATCTTCGGGATTCTTGTTCATACCAATAACCTGTTGCTACTGTTACAAATCTTTCGTACTAAACAGCATGAGACGCGATTAATTTTCTTCATGTTGCCCAACTCTAAGAGAAATATTTTTCTAAGAGATTCATCAAATGTCTTTAAGAATTTTCAAACAAATTCATCGAACATCGTGCTCAAAAATCCCGTTCGCAGATTTTATAAAATTCTTTATCTGACTCTTTGACTTGTCGCCCCATAACCCCACACCGCCACTTTTCGCTAAAAGGGAATATAACCGACTGCACAGGCTGCAACAGACGAGGCTATCTCGGTCGATGGAGACGAGCGGATTGCCGGCGTGCAACACTTAGTGGTTGTCAAAGCAAACGGAAGTGATACATTTTCGCCCGCCTGCTATTCAGCTTTTCTCCACTGACCGAGAGAGCCTGGAATAGGCAACACCAGACCTGTCATTGATGGAAGCCGGGTTGCAGAGAGGTGCACAAAGCCATTGCTTGAATAAACGTTTACCTGTGGAGAGAACAAAAATGTGTCAGGAAAAATCTCCAAAGCTAAGTTCTGAATTAAAATATCGTATTCAGTCAGGTATGTTCACTCTCTGAAATTAGGTAAAAGTATAACGCCTGAAAGCTAGTAGATAATAGCTAAGTTCAGTGAACCCTTTTTCTTACAAGATCTCATTAGTAATTCTCCTTACTGTCTGCCATACAATTCTTATGATGTTGGTTCGGAGAATTTGGTATTTAGTATTCAGTCATTTATGGGAGTTAATGGGTTAAGTTACCAACAGCTACTCGAGAAGAACAGAGCTATACTCACAGATATTAAAGAAGGAAAAGAGGGTATTAAGACAAATTTTCAGAGTGCTGTTATGACAATAAAGAAAGTTCCAGTGTAATTCTCTTGTAAAAAGTGGAAACATATATATATTTTTTAATCCTCTGGAAAATCAGAAGCGTCTTAGATTCAAGATCAATGTTTTTCTGTGCTCACCAAAAGGGGTACAACAGTGATCCAGTCTTTCCAGCAATGTTCCCTCGAGTGAAGCATCAGGCCCAGATGGAATAACGTCTAGGTTTGTTAGAGTGATGTTATCCAGGATCTGAGAATAAGACAGAAAACCTTTACGGTACATGTTTGTGAAATTTCTCACAAAGGAACCTTGCTAACACACAAGCGCTGGGGTTGCCATGGTTTTAATTTAGTTTGTTCTGTGATTGCTCCAGAAAATCCGCGTAAATTGTAAACCAATCAGATTTAAAACTTCAACCAACTCTCATTGGCTCATTGAAACATTTCCCTTTGATCTGATTGGCTGATGTGATTTCGTTGGTGGTGTTTCTTATGCCACTCAATCAAAAATCGCTCTAAATTCTATGTAACTGACGTACAGAATTTTTCCATGAGACTATGACACTCGGCTTAATTGAACCGTTCAGTGTCGTAACGGCTAAAGTTTCACGCAACGACTCTGGATTACAATGTCCTCCGTTGAACCTCATAAACTTAGGACTTGCAACATAAGGGTAATACGTCAGAGAAGACATACATTAAGTCCCAAAAAGCAGAGGCAAATTAGCTTCTAAAGCCGAGGTTTGACCTTGTTCGGAACAGCGTAAACACGCTAGTTCCGAGAGAAACTGGTACCTTATGCACAGGAACACGATTGCGACAGCTTTTTCATTCTAGAAGTTATGCATACCATGTGTTGCCTCCCTTTCACAAAACTTGAGTTCTGTCCACAGGCAGGAGAATTGTCCAGCGGCAGGTATTCCTAAGTGAGCCAAGTACAAGTGAAATGCTTTCAGTTTGCAGTAAAACACAACTGGACATCCATGTCAGAGTAATTTTCAACTGAGCATTGAATTCTAGATTCCATTGGTTTTGCTTTACTTTGCTCTGTGATTGGTCCAGAAAACTCGCGCCACTCTCTCGACCAGTCCGATGCAAACCTAACACCAATCACGACTTGATCGCCCGCGTTTTCCCGCCCTTTTTGGTCTTCAGGGTATTTTACTTTCTTCTAATGCCGTTGTGATTACTTCGGTTTGGAGCGAAATGCGCTTTAAGATGAATACCTCAAAATTCCCCATTGATAAGACTTCTCCATCTATCAGGCATTTCTTCAGGTACCTTCATGATTGCACCAGCAAAATAAAATGAAGATTAATATTCCAGAAGGAAAATTGATATCTGAAAAGAACACCAAGAGTGTTAATTCTTTTTGTGTATCATTCAGCTCACCAAATCACAGCACCAAGAGCACTCAAAGCCAATTCACTGCCTTCACCGGGCATTAAACCCAGAGGATCTGCGGCAAACAAAACAAAAATTCTTACATCAGCACGTATCATGTCGTGTGACTATCCACGTAAAATAAGTCTTCCAAAGTCTAATGAATAGAGGGGCTAAGTTTCTCAAGAAATTTTGGTGCTGCCTCGGTGGGAGAGTACACCAGGGTAATTGGCTATTATCAACAAAGTTGATAACGTAAATCGGCCACCGTAAAGAGTTTCAGAGCTGACGGTTAAAGCGTTAGCCCTTCGTCAGAGTGAATGTCTGTTATAGAAGACATTGAGTGATCTTGCTCTGATTAATATCAGAGGATGATATCGAAAACATTACTTCCAATTACTAACAACAGAACATTTCAGGACCTCTGTTATCTAGACTATAACTCCAAACAATTGCCTGTTGCTTCTGCTTGAAAAAACGCGGGAATCTACAGCCCCTTTTTTGCTATGAACGAACCGTACGCCAGAGAACGCCATAAGACTTCGCGTGCGCGAAAGGAACATTCTTTCAGTGACAGTCTTACCTCCATCAGTCAACTTCTTTAAAACATCTGGCCAACTCTGAAACCCAAAGAGATGTCACATTACCGTACTAAACTTTATGAGAGCCAGGACACTCTTAAACTGGATATAAAGTACACTTGTTTAGAGATCTTTTCCTGAGAATCTCAAATAGAATTCAAGATCAATTTTGCAAGTAAATGACATTACAACGCTGAAGGAATGTCACATAGCTTTGAGCACAATAAATTAATTTCTATATCACTAACCAACCTTCACTGGATTTTCAGTGTTATTCTCGTCATTATTGAAATATTGTTCCTCTGCAAGAACCTTCAGTGTCTTGCCTGCTTCCCAAAACTGTGATCCTATCAAATCATGAACATCATTATCATGCTGTCATTCAAAATATTTGGTTTGGTTTGCATTTCAAGAAGACTTGCCATCACAAAACTACATTTGAATCATGGGAAAAGATGGAGAACCTACGATGGATCGTCCCTCTCATCCCCAACAAAAATTCTTTAAACAGCACACACACACACCCCCCCTTCCCCGATCTTGTCTGAAGAAACACTGAGAAAATTTGGTGGCAGAAAAAGAAAATAGAAAATTGGGGGGGGGGGGGGGGGGGGGGGTGGGGAAGGTTTTTAAGAGAAGCCAGAGTGGGGTGTCGATGAAATAACAGGTAAGGGAGGTCATTCATCGTCGTCAGTCGTCTCCACACTCGTCAGTATCATCCCATCATGTGGGGACAGCTACAGTACCCCACAGCCTTCTGTCCACTACTCCTTTCCTCATATTTTCCATTTTATCTAATAGTTTTTTCAATAGTTCTTCAAAAGTTTTTCCTACCTTGTGTTAAGTATTCCTTCATGGCAGACATCAATTCATGGTTGAGAACTTGTTGGGTTTTCAATGTTAAACCTCCACGGGTACACAGAACCTTTGAGCAAAAGAAATTCCTCACTGAAATTCTCATTATTTTGAAGTACCAAATGATGACCACATAACCAATCTTTTTTAGCAGAAGAGTAGGAGAAGGAAAAGCAGTCATATGCTTTACCTTCTATGTGCAAAATAAGTCAGTGAATTGCACTTATCACTAACTTGCAGGTTGCAATGGCGATAGAACTCCTAGCTGCGCTTACAATTAAGCAAATTACACACCTGGACAGGAGTAAAATGGGCCACCAGAGTCCGCAATCGAGAAGACTGACGATCATCTTTGAACTGTCCAATCTAAAAGACAAAAAAAGTGGGAATGTATTAGTCAAAGCCATCTGGAAAAAACTTGCACAGAGGATACTAGTTTCATGTATTTATAACAAATAAATCTTACACATAGCTTCTGGACAATCACAGCCTGGTTTATAAGCTGGTGAAGGACATGTTTACTTACATGAAACTTTCCAATGGATGTGTCCACAAAGCAAACACCATAGACACTTTCCCCACCAGAAACATCATCAGAACCCTAAAAAATTTGAAAAAAATATATAATGTACTTATTGACTAAGTGAGAGGCCAGATATTTAGACTGAGCACAGTGAGGTCCATGTGTCATGAACAAGAGCCAAACACATTAATGTTTGGCCAGACCAAACTTAGTCAATAGGCATTTTATAATAATTATGACCACTACACTGTATGTGCTGGAGAATTTGAACACTTTGTTTCAATTTAAATAGGATGTATATGTATAGCGTACACTGGACGATTTCTACAAATTTTCTACAACAAAAACTTTTCCTTTTTGGCTTCTAGACAAAACAAGAAACAAACAATTTGTTCAGAAGTGTGACTCATATTATCATTTGTTGTATTTCAAGTTACAGTCCACAATTTTGATCCATGTTCTTGGAAAATGAAAAAGAACTGTATGATCTAAAGGTTAGACTGGCTCACATCAAACTGTTCAGCACCACAAATGTCAGCTTTCACCGTGGTTTTCTATAGGACTGCAAGTGGGGGTCACATGACTCTTGATCAATTTTTTTTCAAAGGAGATCCAGCATTAACACTCTTTTTTAAGTTTTATCTTTACCTTTTCAGAAATAGCTAAAAGATAGGCAGCACTACTTTCTGTACAATCCCCATCCACAAAACTGTATGTCTTTGTTCCTGCAGAGGTGAACATGACATATCAGTTATTCTTAAATGTGTCAAGAGCAGGAATCAATTAACTCTTGACTTCCACAAGTGATCTCAAAATAAAACTTCTCCCTATAATATCTGTAAATAATCCAGCAAACAAGTAATGGGAATTCTCAAACTGATCAGTTACAGGTAAAAGTTGTGATGTTGATCCGTGTCAAATTCTCATAAGTACTTTAGAAGGAAGTGAGTAGCAGTTGGAAGGAAGAGTGAACAATCAGATCTTGAGGAAATCTTTAATTTGCCAGTAAATACCTTTCGTGATTACAGCACATATTTCCCTTTTCACCACTTGATCACTCTTTAAATTGGAGTGAGCTGTAAATAAAATTCAAAAAAATTGGATTTTAAGATAGGAAAAAAAAAGGTGAAGTACACTGAATGGATGAGAATGAGAGAAAAGCCCAAAGGTGATTGACACGCAACTTCTCCCTATAATATCCATACATTACACAGCAAACAGGTAATGAGAAAACTCAAACTTATCACTTAGAGGTTGACGTCTTGATCTAACACCAAATTCTTGTAACTAATTTGAAAGGAAATGTGTAGCAGCTAGTGGGGAGAATTAACAATCAGATCTCGGGAGTTAAAGAGTTGAGTAAAAAATCAAGAAACAGACATACTTCTCTTGCACCTTTCCTTCATCATCTCTGGAGTTTCTGTTTGCTCTACTCGTGCCACTCTACAATAAAAAAATAAGCAAAATTAGCCATTTACACCCTAACATCAGTATGCATATTCTCCATACTGTTCTTTATACATTTCTTAAGGTGCTAACAAGGAGAATTTGTTTACTAATCAAAAGGTTTTCTCCCTGGTGACCATTTTCTTTATTCTCATGACCTTAATGTATAATTCAGGAAAGATATTGTAGGGGGAAATTAGATGCTGGTCACTCTTAGGCTCTAAAGGGTTAATATCAGTTTAACAAAGAGATATTATGTTGTATGTGTCTGTTCAGAAAAATATCACAGATGAAGTCAAAATGTAAGATTCATTGCATTTACATACAGTTTATAGTGCAGCTGACAATATACCTTGGGCGTAGTTTCCCACACCATGTGCGTTGCTTGAGCATTGCCTGCAGTTTTTTTTTTGCAGTTTTTGCTGAGTTAGTTTTAGCGAAAGATTTAAGGCTGTGTAAGAAGCAATAACTTCAAATCGTCGCCAGATAGATCCTCATTTGTCATTCATTGCGATTATCCTGTACAAGAATACAAGGAATCTGGATGCATAGAAGTTGTTGTGTCATATTTATTTTGCCAAGCGTAGCTGGCCCCTACACAAAATATGGTAAGAACAAAAAATGTGGCCCATAGGACACAGCTGAGTGTGTCACTGATGCACTTACCACATTTTGACACCTTCTGTGATCTACTACTGTACAGACCCACGGCAATGTGGGATCAATTTGTTGTTTTACATGATAAGTATGCAAAAGATTTTTGATAGTGACATCAGTTACACATCTGCCCTCCAACAGATGATAAGGAAGAGCTAATCATATTTAAGCTTATTAAATACTTAATATTCTTCTAGTTTCTTGGAACCTGCGGAGACCAGCTGCCCATCTACAGGAATCATAGACACTTCTGATTACATTGTTTAATGTTTGTGCCAAGGACAGATTCTGTAAAATTACGAATAACTCACTTATAGCCTTTCTGAATCAGCGTGTCAGAGTATCGTCCAAAGGCAATTTCAGGAAAACCAGCATGTGCAAAATTACCCTGTAAGAGAAACCAAAAACTCAAACAAATTTATCCAACAACTTGTTGTGAACAACTGATGCAGCTTTGAATCTTTCACTTCCAAGATCTAGAAACCAACTATCCACGCTAAATGCCATATAATTCTTACAATTTCAGCTTTGAGAAAATCGAGTTAACCCTTTCACTCATAAGATCTGATAGGTAATTCTCCTTACTGTCTGCTATACAGATCTTATATAGTTAGTTCAGAGAATTTGGTGTAAGATCAACTGATAATCACATAATTGATATTTTTCCTTATTCTCATCACTTGCATGCTTGACATTGTATTGACATTGTAAAGAGAAATTCTGTCTTGGTCACTCATGGGAGTTAAAGTGTTTCTTGTACAAGAGACAACCTGTAACCTGCAATCCCTCTATGAAGAAAGCTGTCCTGTCAAAGTCTGATTATTTGTGATTTGTAAATACCTTCATATAGATTAATCCAAGTTCTTTCACACCGACTGTGGCATCCATGTTGTACAATTCATAGAATTTGCCAACCTGGAAGGAAAAGAACACCATCAAGAAAAATATCCAAACTTTTAAGTAACTCAGGATCTTTCATTTGTACTTCAGAAGTATTCTGAACGTTGATTCCTGAGGAGGAGCAAAACTTATTTAAAGTTAATTTATTAAGTTAAATTAAATACTAAGTTATACTTCAGGATGGAGAGAGGAACTGTGAAGTGGAAGGTCTTGTCCAAGAACACAACAGAGTGACTCAATAAAATGCTTGGACCCAGGTCTTTAAATGTCTTCTACCACAGTAGTATCACACACTGCCCTGAATTTTTAGAACCCTGCTATTGCAGAAAATTGGTCGTTAATCCATGACTTGAATACATTATTTGATGTACAGTTTTAATTTACCTTAAAGAACAGGATGGTGTCAAAGTTGTCACTCTTCAGCTGCCACCATTGCTTCATGGCCTTGGAAGGAAATGAAATAGTTAAAGCGATTTTAGTGTGCCAAAGGTTGAAATTGGTGCTAGCCTACAATCACTAACAAAATTAGCTGACACAGAATCTGTGTGGGCACTTTTAAAGGAAGTATTGCTAAATGAGGTTTAAATTGAAGTGCAGTTCACAAAAACCCTCCCCTCCCCCCATTAAAAGTTTTACAGTCACAAAAGGAAAAAGTGAGACATAGAGGGGGAGGGGTGGGTGAGAGGAATTGTAGAAGGGACAGAACTGTTATGATATTCTAGAATATTGAATCTTTAGCGGTCATGTGTCTATGAATCCTTTTCTAGTTGATTGTGGTATGAAGTATAGCTGTGTCTTAAAATATATATAATAAGGGAAGCTGTCAAAGCCTTAGGTTCATAGAATCAGAACAAAATTACTTACTGGTGTAGCATCTTTGGAGTTGAGAAAGGATGAGGGAACCTGTGGATTTTTGGAAAATGGAACAATTATCAAGTGCTGGCTGAAGGATGAAAATTCACTGATTGAAATGTTCTAAAAAAG